GAGAGAGAGAGAGAGAGAGAGAGAGAGAGAGAGAGAGAGAGAGAGAGAGAGAGAGAGAGAGAGAGGTGGACTAGGCTCCCAAAGGCAGGTGGCCCAGGTTTCGAGATAGACAGCAACCACAAGGAAAACAGAGTGATGTGTGAGGATCAGAGTAGTCTGCTTCAGCGGTGAAATATTTAGAAATCTGTGAAACCCGTCATCATACACCTTTCTCCTGCTCTTTGCCTGTCATACTCTATCCTGCCCTCCACATATTTCTTTCCTTCCCGTTGCCCCTACCTCCCCTTCCGATACTCCCCTAGATTTCTTTCCTTCCTGTTGGCCCTACCTCCCCTGCCCCATACTCCTCGACAACTCCACCTTCTCTCCCTTACTTTACCCTCCACTCTCCCCCCTCCACCCTCCCCTCCACTCCCTTTGTACTGCTACTAACAAATCCATACGAATCAGCATCATTAAGAGACTAGACTATATGAAGTTCCCTGGAGTCCAGGGCAATCCATGCTGGTAGGAACCCTCTCAAACTATGATCCGATGTATTTTGTTTAACCACTCTGAATAAGGGACGCTGGACCCGTTTTCCAGCAGGTGATGCTCCCCACCAATAGATGGAGCCCCTCCTCCGGTGCTAGCGGTGTCTGCTCGTATCAGCACCTCTAACACTGACGAGATGAGGGTTTTAAGCCCCCAAAAAAAAAAAAAAAAAAAAAAAAAAAGTTCATAAATGAAATGAACCGAAGTATGAAGAGTCGTTGAAGACGCTTCACGTCAACACCACCCACACACCCCTGCATCACACGCCAAGGCAAATGCAAATAACTGAGGTAGAAGGTGGAGTCGTCTAGGAGTATGGGGCAGGTAGGGGAGATTTCTTTCAATATATGTAACAAGACCAACCGCTGTGAAACAACCTTGCCAAGATGAGCTCACGAGGAGAAAAGCTTTCACTCCAACCACAGCAGAGTATCTGTTCCACCGAGTGACCGTTCGAGACCTCTAGGGTTTGCTTTGCACGGTTACGACCGTGAGGAATTAGGATGATCGGAGGAGAGTCTGCCGCCCTCCCCATGGCTAGATCTTGATATTATATGCTGTGAACTGGGGCTGATAATTGGGCGGAGAGTCAATCCCCTCGAGAGAGGGAAATCAATGCTGTTCCACCAGGTGTATCGTCTTCAATCTTGTCAGTGGGACGCTGGACCCGGTTTCCAGCAGGTGTTGCTCCCCACCCATAGATTGGTGCCATCTATAAACTGGGGCTTGCTATTGGAGGATGCTCGTATCACCTCCAATAACAGGTTGCCACAGATGTTTCCGTTAAAAAAAAAAAAAAAAAAAAAAAAGAGAGACCTCTACCGGATGCAGTTGTCACCGTATGATGTGCAGACGGGAGTGCTGCAACAACAATGGAGGAAAAAGGGTTGGGTGACGGAACGCAAACAGGAGAGGCACACGGCAGGCGGCCTTGGTGAGAAACTCTTCCGAACCATTATGAAGGTCCCGGATCAAGACAGATGGGATGGTCGAGGTCAATAGTAAATCTGGCGGTCCCCGCCGTCAACAAAAAGCTGGCATACGGATTCCCACGTTTGCTGTGCAAGGGCGAGGTGGCATACGGATATCCCATAGCATTTTTTTTCCTTAATTGACGAAGGCATTGGGGGTTCTGGCAGTGATGGAAGGAGAAAGCGGATTGGGGCGATCTCCTACTTGGGAGAGACTACGGGGAAGGGGTGTGGACAGCGGCCCGGCGGGGTCATTACTAGCGTCAATTTTTATTTTTTTATTTTTTTATTTTTATTTTTTTATTTTTTTTTTTATTTTACTGGCGTCATTAGCTTATGAAGGGCGAAGATCTGGAACGGCGAGGGCTATGGAGACCGTCAGGTCGGGATTGTTGTGGTCAATGTGATGCCGTAGGAATAAAGAAGTCCGCGGGGGAGCTGTCGTTGTGATGTTCAAAACAATGGCGTATCTGAAGGAGATACATTGGTCAGTCGAGGTGGTGTCAGATGTAGGAAATACATTGGTCTAGGCATGTCTGTGGGCAGGGTATAGGTAGATACGGAATTCAAGCACGGGTAAGAATATAAGGGTGAATATAACGGTAGATAGTAACCTAGGCTACCATAGTGGTTACGAGACTTCGTTCGTGAGGCAGAGGGTGCCGGTTTGAGGCCGTGCGTGCACGGCGGGGCCTGATGCCCTAAAATACACGTTGTTCAGTAACTACCAGAGTGGCCCGGGTCCACTTGCCCGGCCGTGCAAAAAAGAAATAAAAAAATAAAAATTATTTTAAAATTAATTTGAAAAATTAAAAATTTATTTTAAATTTGGTCAAGAATTTCCATGTGACCCTGAGGCAAAAGTTGTTCAGTTTATTTTTCTGCATAACATAGTTTTTTTTTTTCCGGATTTTTTGGAGTTTTTTTTTTTCGTTTTTTCTTTGGCTGGGACCTTCCCTGGTCCTTGCACGGCCGGGCCGCCCGGGAAAATAGGGTTACCCGGGCGGCCTGGCTGGTAGCTTAGGTAGATACGGAATTCAAGATACGAAAATGGGTAGGAAGATGAGGGTAAATGGCAGAAGGGACAGGAGAAATGACACAAGGAAGGGAACTCAAAAGAGGCATAACGTGAGGCAGATGGGCCTGAAAGTTGGAAGAAATTAAGGTGTCAACTTAGAATGAATATGGGGCTGAAGGTACTGGAGAATAAGAAAGGGGTATAGGGCCCGGGGGGGTATAAGGTCACAAGTAAGGGGGTGCAAGGGGGGGTCTCACTTCTCTGGTTGATTCTGGGTTTAGCAGGCGGCATGACGTACGCAGCGACTGGGTACCATAGGGAGCCTCCCGGCTGGATCGGCCTTGCCTGGTTGACGAGCCCGCATAAAGGGAATTTGGCACAACAGGCGGGGACCAGCTACCATCTTTACCCGAATAGAACGCCCGGTCATTATCGCTATATGTAGACTGAAAAGTGCACAAAATACGGCAATAATGACCACGCGTTCTATTCGGGTGAAGACGGTAGCAGTTCCCTGCTTTTCTTTTCCTCCTCCCCCCCTCTCTGCTACCTGCTTTTCTTTTCCTACTCTTCATTCTTCCTCTTCTTTTAAAAAACATTTTCTCTCTCACGCTTGCCGGTTACAAGCAACCGGACTGGTGCCCCCCCGAAGCAAAGGGGCTGCCGGTCATAAGCAAGCAACTGGACTGGTGCCGCCCAGAAGAAGCAAAGGGGCCATAAAACAAAAAGAAAGGAAGAACTCAGCTGGGGTATTCCCGCCCTGAAATTATTTGTTCATTCATCAGGACCAAAGGCACACCTTCCCACCCTATATGGTGCGATATCATTTGTTCATTGCAAACACTGGTACATATAAAGGGTATAGCCGCAAACTCGTCAAAACACCGAAAAGTCGATATACGAGAGGCAAACCAGCAACACTTGGATTCTCTCGGGCCGTTCGACGACGCAGCAAAGAGCTATTGCAGAACCTTATTTTGGAGACGGATCTGCCTACATGCAAGGGCACACTGCACGATCCGTTTCGGGACAATTTCGCCAAGCAATCTGTTTCGCCAAACAGGCCAATAACCGAGACATAGCTCTCATCATTCTCAAGTAAAATGTTAAAAACTCCATATCGTCAAAGATTAGCAGTCGTGTCGTTCTCCCGCCAGCAGCCAAGATATGACACATGCTCAAATTTTTCTTGAAGCGAAACAAAAAAAAAAAAATGTTGTCCACACATCTCCATATCCGTAAGAATTACCGAGTCAAGCTGCTGCTGCTGTTAGTGCCCAACAAAGGAGCAGCATTCAGACAAGGACAACCATCACACCATCGGTGGGTATAATGAGGTAGGGTGGTTCGAACAACACGTCGAATTCAAAAGTTTATATATTACTCATAAGCAGAATGACCATACTTCGTGCATATGCTGTCACTCCAAATGGCCCAGCAAAACAATGTGCCCGTGACCACACACCTTCCTCCTATTTGGACAGTGGCACCCATGCACACCTGTACCCTGCACCCAATTTCTGCTGCCACCCCGTCGGCCCCCATCTACAGGCCTCAAGTCAACACACACACACACACACACACACACACGCACACACACACACACACACACACACACAGAAAAGTTCCCATTAACACAGAGAAGAGGGGGATGGCTACAGACTGCCACACAGTCCTCCTATGTGGACACCGCTGCAGCACGTGTTGCACCATGCACCCCCGGTACCTGATACTTATTTCTGGTTCCACCTCCTACTCACTCATCTAACATCCTCCAGTCAACACAAACACAACGGAAAGAAGAGAGAGAGAGAGAGAGAGAGAGAGAGAGAGAGAGAGAGAGAGAGAGAGAGAGAGAGAGAGAGAGAGAGAGAGAGAGAGAGAGAGAGGGGCCAAAACATACAAATAGGTTACCGTAAGAGGACTAGCAGACGTGAAAAATGATGGGAACCTTTACAACATTGTTGCCAAAATATTTTCCCGGCTGAAGAATGTGCCATGCACATGGCAAAGGTCTCTCCTCCATAGACCCCTCTTTGACAGGTCACACAGCAGTTATCATGCCATTTGATAAGAGCCCAACAGGACTGGCATGTTCGAAAGCGGACACAGGCCTGTAGCATTGCTCCCGAAATATTACCCCACCTGAAGAATGTGCAACAGAGATGGGCAATTACCTCGCAGAGGCCCGTATCTGTGGCGCTGTCCTGGCAATACGTTCCAGCAGCGTTATCACACGCTCAGGAACTAACGTACCCCTCAATGCCAGCTCCATGCCCCATGTCTCTTTCCATGTAAGGAAGTTTTTTCTACATACATCAGACACATAAGCAGAGGGGCAGGACTGATCAAGTGCGGCACGGAAATCGAAAGCACGACGACGCAAAAATGGAAAGCACGACGACTCAGGGGCAAGAGATGCGGATTAAGGGAGTACGTAGCAAACATGGAGAGGAGGTCCGGTCCACGGACGTGGTGTAAATAAAGATAAACCAAGTTGTTAGCCAAGCTGTAAGATGAAACAAAAATCGCTTAACTCCATTATAGTTCTGTTGTGGTAATCAGAGATCCACGTCCCCTACCGAGTCACCATCCAGTCTTCCGCTGAGTTAAGAAACTCCGCTGAAATCAAGATCACTCTTGTTGTTTACATAATGTACACGCCTACGACTCCTTTACACATTCAGTCAAGGGAAGAGATGATTACGGAAGGGCGACGGGAGGAACGAGAATCGCTATGCTGCTGCCACCGTTGAAAACCGATTACCATTTCTTCTGCTCCTGACCAAAGGTTCACTGCTGGAACTATACGACTCTGACGAATTCGATTTGCCGCTCGTCATTCATCAGGAACTCCAAAAAAAAGTAGCACTCTGGCCAGCAAAAGAAAACAAACAAAAAGTGAAAAAAAAAAAAAAAAAAAAAAAAGCATTGGACTTCTCTAGATGGAGATAACGTGGACTCACATCCTTAACAGTGGCATCACACCGTCGCAGCTCAATTACCATCATGACCTCCATCAACCTGCGTCAGCTTGATCGCCTCCTCCTCCTCCTCCTCCTCCTCCTCCTCCTCGTGCTCCTTTCCCTTCCGCTGCTCGGTCTCACCCTGCAGAGCTCCGTGCAGACTGACAGTCGCCAGAGGCTGAACTTCACGTGTTCCTGTGGCTCCATCAACCTGTGACGTTCGGCCTTCGGCTTTTTGTGAGAGAAAAAGGGCAAGCGTCCACCGACTCATGCTGCAGAGCTGCTTGCAGATGAAAGCTGTTGAGAGTTTCCAACCATACAAGAATCATCTACCATCCCGAAGCGGGAAGCTCGGCCTTTTGCTCGCGCAAGGGTTTTCATGGACCTTCGTGATGCACGGCTGCAGGTCTGGCGCCTCCACTCAGAGAAACTTGTTGCCGCTGCTGCACCAACCCCTGTGCCGGTAGCAAGAGGCTGAACTTCATCCGTTCCTGTGGCACCCGCTGGCTCCCGAATAGGCACGCCAGCACGCTCTAGCAGCTGAACCGGCCTAGTCCGGGATCGCCGGGAACTCTGTGTGCTATTGGCGACCTGGCAAGGAAGGCGGGTCTGTTCTGCTGCAACTTGACCATTCTGAGTGTGATCCAGGGCTTGATGGTGGACGTCACGATGCTGTGATTGCAGCTCATTCTCATTATCTGCATTATGCTGGGCAGCATAGAGGTCTGGGTTGTTAGTGCTGTGCACTTCGCACCTCGGGGCCAAATCCTTTGCATCGGCCGCAGCGGCAGATTTAGAATGCGAACTTGCTGTCCCATCGTTCCCTTTGAAACCGGCAGTTTCTGGCCCCTCCAGGCGTCCAGCATCACCCTTGAACCGGGCTCTGGAGCATGCAGTGTGCACACCCGGCACAACACCACCGGGTTCACTTGGGGTCACCACCAAGCGATTGCATTTAGACTCCATAGCTTGAAGTCGGTAGGCTCCAGCCAGACCGTTCTTTCGTTTCAGAACCGCCCCGCATGTCATGGGGGCCACCTCCCCCGCTTCCTCGAGAGCCCTCACCAACAGTGCGGCCTTTTGGAGTTCCTGCTGCCTCTGTAGAGAACACTCGTTGCGCAGTACAGTCTTACCCTTTGTCGCAGTGGAAGGAAGGTGCACGTCCACCTGAATTCGCCCAACAGCCCTGTCGTTGCTTCCACTCAAACTGGACCCCGCTTCAGAGGACGACTTCGGCCCCGTAAATCCACCAGCTCCTCCTCTTCCATTCCCGCCTGCAGTGAATCGACTTAATGCCGCACTCTCGCTGAGATCGACAGTCGTAGTGGGACCACCTCTATGTCCCCTGCCAGCAGAGATGCCTTGCTTTAGCAGCGCACGGGAGACTGACCGTGAACAGGAATCCAGAACCGCTGAGATGTCTCCCACATGTATTCCAGGATTCAAGTTCAAATTCCGGCTACACATCGACCGGACGGCCATCACATCTCCGTGCTTGGGCATTCTTGCAAGTGTCCGAAGGCGATACACCTCGTGCATACCCTGGGAAAGGGGGCCCACCTTCACAAGGCGGCTGCTGACATCCCCTCTCCCTACGAGTCCCGCCGCGTTGCCCCCAGGGGCAGCAAGGGCAACCACGGCGCTGCGACTAGAAACACCCCCTGCTTCTCTCTCGCGAACTCCACCACCATCGTTGTCACCACCGCTGCTGCAACCACTCACACGGGAATTGGATCCACCCGCGCTGATTGCAGAGCGGATGCGAGCATGGCGAGGACCGAGAATGGCAGACTCCTTGCCAGCCTCTCCTGGTGTCCCCGTGCCCCCAGGAGCCCCCATCTTGGGCAGGAATAGCGCTTCATTCTGCCCAGCCGATTCCTTGTTCTCTGCCAATGCCAGAATGTTGCTTGCCATGAAGGAAACAGAGGCAGCGATCTCCGCAGCAGCATCTCCCAGCCCTAACGACTTCGCCGCCACAACGGGTGTGGTCGTTCCGAGTGCAGAGCCATTGAGCTGCATAGACTCAGTCACATGATCATGGCCATGCAATGCAACACCGCTCTCCCCTCCTTCGCACTTGTCTGGACAATCCAATCCCGCATCGCCGCCATTCTGATGACTGTCATGCACAGCACAGTGGCCATTCTTGTCGCCGCATGTCGCAACTCCCTCATCCACCACAGCAACCAAATCTGCTTCATTGATGCTCGTATGGCGACCGTCAGATTCTCGCCCTGATAGCACAAGCTTGTCCCTCAGAAGTCTGGACCGGGGCCTTCTCACAGAGGGCTTCTCTTTCACAATGGCCATTAGTGCTCCATCCAATCCCTCGCCCAGTTTTCCACCTCGCCCACATGGTGCCACAACTACAAAGCTCTTACCTGCAGGATCAAGCCTGCTATTGTCTTCGTCGCAGTCCTCATGGCCTCCATTTTCTTCAACGGTAGCCAAGCCCCTAGCATCCCCAGCAGCGGATGCAGTCGTTCTCTGTCTCGAGCCAGCACCCTCACCACCACCACCACCATCTGTTCGCCTGGAGCTCACACTTGGATTCTTACTCTTGTTGCCGTCTCCGAGCTTTTGGTGGGAATTCCTGCTGCTCTTGAACAGCACGTTTGGTGACTCCTGAGCACTGGACAGGGTGCCGGAGATGACATCATCATCTGGATCTGCCTTGGAGCTTTGCTGCTCATCCCCCACACACAAGGAAGGCTCAATATCCATCATCTGAATGCCCGCCACAGCACTGCATTCCTGTTGAAGGACCGGAAATCCATCAGGACCTGGCTGCAGAGAGGGAAAACTTTCTAAGTCGTCAGTTCGAATTCCACTCACATCTCTCTCGTCGCCTCCTTCCTCTTCTTCTATCACCCCGATTTTCACACCCAATCCACCATCACAAAGCCGACTCGATTGCCTTTTGGAGGGGCTAGAGCAATCGGACTCCTTCATCTTCTCGTCAGTTGGACCGGAAAGCCAAGAACCATCATCCCTAGGATTATGACACTCGACCCGCGAGTTCCCCTGATTACTGAACACCCACAGTCCTGACATAGCATCTGCTTTTTGATCATCTCCCCAACCCCGCCTCGACCAGCCATGTACAGCCAGGTCATCATGCAGCTCATCCCCACCAGGAGTCCATTTGTCACCGAAGGACGACATCTGAATCTCTACGTTGCAAGAGTGGCACGAGTCTTCTGCCTGCAAGTCTGGGCAAGTGCTCACCAAGCTTGCAGCACGGGCAACACTACGTCGGGCAGTGGACTTGCGCCTGTCCCTGTTCGCCGGATGGTATTCATTGTCGTCGCCAAAGGCAATCACATCCATGGACGAGGAAAGCGCACGTGTCGCATGAGGCGGACCTTCAGCCTCCTCCTTGGCCCTTCCCACCGCACCATTCTCTTCCACTGTCCCAAGGACTTTGCTACCCTTCACAACCACAACTCCACCTTTTCGCGAAGCACCATCCTCGCACACTCTCCCATTTCGAGGAGTCCTTTCGGCAGCCTTGCCAATGCCACCTTCAAAATCGGATGAGGACGAGGATGCAAAGGCACCATAGTCCCCTCCCTCCTTACCTGCTTGCAGAGATCCACACAGGCCATTGACAGAACGCAAGCCTTGAGGATAGCCCTGCACCGCTTGTGCAGGTGCCGAGGGGCGTTGACCCTTTGCGCTAGAGTGGACATCAGCTAGGCAGCACGCTGCTGCATGATCCTCAGTCTTCAAAGGTTGAGGCTGCTCTTCTCGGGGGCGTTTCCGTAATACGGAATTCTCCATTATATGGCAAGGCTTCAAATGTTAGTGTCCACACACACGACTCCTGGAAGTACAGTTTACACTCTGTTGAGAAGTAATGCATGTGGTTGTTTGGAAAAAAGAGCCCTGCAAGAAAAAGGTCAGGCGCTGGACCCAACAGGCAGCCAGAAACAGAAGATGGGAGGACAAGAAATGAGCAGATCATGTGTAGAGGCTCAAGCAGAAAGGGATAGAAACAAAGGTGGAGAGATGCTCCGCAAAACAATCCTTCGCCTTGATGCTCTACGATATGCTAATGAGAGTCCCCCCCCCCTCCTCTTCACCATCACAGCTTAGTCCAGAGTAGTTCTATGCTGTTGGTTTGTGCGATCACGTGCAAGAACAGGGATTTGTTTTGCCTGAACCTTTGTGATCAAGCAAAGGCGAATGTACTTATGCTCTCTCTCTCTCTCTCTCTCTCTCTCTCTCTCTCTCTCTCTCTCTCTCTC